GGCCAGTTAGTGGATATTGCTACTCAGGCACATTATGTTATTTTCAGGCGAAAGGCGCAACCCGAGATGACGGAAAAAACAGGACACCGAGATTAGGGAAGCGGGGACTATCTGTCACGACAGGGGTGTCAGCTGTCGTACCAACTAGTCGGCCATAACCCCTGCCTCATGGCCGGCGACCTGTTTTACCTTCTGTAGCTCAGCTCAGGTTTAAATCGTAGTGAGGGGGGAACGGGGACATCGGGAGCAGAGACACCATCTCCACGGGTGTATACTCGAGCTGGGGAGATGTGTGTGTAAGAGCGGTGTGGAGATATGATTCTTTGTAAATGTTGAATCTATGAAATGCTGGTTATTCTCCTTTGCATTAGCCGATAAATAATTGACGGCTATTCGTCCTTTCATGTCACAAACAGCCCCAGAAAGGCGGCCTTTTCATCAACAGCTTCAACCGGGAGAAGCAAAAGCAAAGCGTACAAAACCACAGCGTACTAGAGAGCACAGATGCAAAACTTTGCGGGCCACGCATCAGACCAAAACCTGGTGTGGTCAACAGCGGCGAACATCCAGTGAATCGTGACCCACAGCTGTTGTTCAGATGTGACCATCCATCAGAAACTGCAGGCCACCTCTACGCGAGCGTTTGTCTATTGGCTGATCCTTACCTGACTACAAACAAGATCCCAGCATGCATTTCCATAGATGGTTTCTTTTGTATACGTGAAACGCTAAGCCCAGACCAAACAACCCCCAGGCACGTGCGGCCACCGTCCGGGTGGCATGCACACCGCCATTTGGTGCTCAAAGCACAAAGCCAACCATCGCCACTCATCCCGACCGCAGCCTCTCAGACGAGCAACGCCGCCATCAAAAACACACCAGATAGCACGAGGAATGTGAGAAACACCTTGCCCCGGAAGGTGACCGGACATATCACTCGATCGGGCAGACGCAGGCTGGACTCGACCCAACATGTCGCTAAAACATTTCGATATTAAGTCCGGAGTAGGACCTTACCACCACCGACATTAGGCCCGTTACCATCTGTACGATTGCTCAATGCACCACGCGACTGTTGTGTACGGTATGAGGGCCAATGAGGTCACGCGCCGCCTGAGCGAGCCGACCGCCGTCACGAACACGGCGAACGCGAGTGCTGACGATCTCGACCAGCTTTCGATATCCCATCGTCCCGTCTTTCGATATCCCGTCGTCCCGTCTTTCAATATCCCCATCGTCCCGTCTTTCGATATCCCATCGTCCCGTCTTTCGATATCCCATCGTCCCGTCTTTCCCTCTTTCTACGACCAGGACGCCGCCAATGACAACGTCGGTATCGGTATGTACTGGCTGTTTGCTGTCTTCGGCATGTCTGCGTATAAGCACGTTGACAGCACAGTTAGTCCCACCATATAAGTGAAAATACGTGATGCGGTTCCGACACAGTCGTGCGATCTGTTGCACAACACATATCGCTTATAATGCACAGGGCGGTAGGGCATAACTGTACCATAGCGTCACCTGAAGCGCCGTCTCGTCAAACCCCAAATATCGTGGCGTGGCCACCAATGCGTGGAAGACTCCTCCAAGACGCACTACACTCAGTGCGAGGCCTGCGGCAGGCGGCTACGAACGTCATCCAGTCCGCCAGAACCACCTGTGAACATGTGTGATGCGGCAATGCCAGCTTGTCCTCCACCGCCGGTGAGCATGTCTGAGGCTGAAATTCTGAACGCTGTGAAGAGTACGACAGTGTGCGGCCACCTGACGGCCGTGACTTACATAGCCTAATGTGGTGCTCCTCTTCCAACCTCATGTCCACACAGTCGAACTCGTACTGACAGAAGTCCTTTGCCAAGCGATGCCTCTGACATGTCACTACGTTCGTTCCTGGCGCTACAAACCCCAACCAAGCCACTATAAGTGGTCGCTGCACCGACGGCGCACCCTGTTCGGGGCATTTGTCGAGTAGCAGCTTCACCGATGGCGAGACGCACAGCTCAACAAGGCCCGAATTCACGCGGTGTTCGACGCACGGCCAGATATCTCCGAGATAATGAAAGGCAGTTGCATGCCACCTATTTACAAAATGCCGATATTGGCCTCGCGCCCGTTCGTTTCTGCACTGGTGCTGAACCTCAGTGTCTGGTGTTATCCGTCGGCAGGGGCGTTGTCGCGGAATACGTTGTTTTCAGGGAGGGCACCCCGTTGATCTACGCTCCACCGGCCTCGTACCTCCAATGTGTCAAAGCAGTGACCACAGAGCGGTGAGCTCCGCTGTGAAAACTGAGACCGTGCCAGTAAGCATCTTTTCGCCAAAACTCCTCGCCCGGAAAAAGCATTGCGACACAACTTCTATGGCCAGAGGGCCGAGCAGGCTCGATCGAGGACGAGTTGATTCTGACGCGCGACACGACCTTTATAGCCAGAGGGCCGAGCAAGCTCGATTGAGGATGAGTTGACCCTGACGCGGGCTGGAAACAAGATCGGCGTTGATCCACCTTTTCATCTGTGCTATCATGGCCGTGCACATCCATGCGCGCAGGCACACGCAGTGCGCCGAGCGCACTAACACATGACAAACTATGCAATAAATAGTTATGCACCAAGAATAGCCAACAGCTCCCAATATGTTTGCACAGATAGATGGACCTGTGTGATTGTGGAGATGACATGTGAGCTCTGAGAGTGGGGACCCAATGCCAATGTGACAATGGGCAGAGCTGTTCTATGGACAAGAATAAGGGGGCAGCTGTGCTTACCTAATAAAGTGATGAAAACAGGCTCTCACACTACAACAACCTGAAACATCAGAACATATTCAGAAAAAATGCCAGGAATTCTAGATTTAGCTGACATATGCATGAATGCATGTATGTACACATGCACGCATGCATGCACCCACCCAAAGCCAATGTAAAGGAGAGCTTGTGTGAGCCCTGACATCGCCATCCAATGGTCAAATTTCGGTTCAACTGAATCCATTTTGGGAAACCTTTAAGGAGCTGTTCCACAATTGTATTGGGATTGCACATTGTGTACTGAACATTTCTAAGTGTGCAAATAGTGTACACATTTGTGTACTGCGCTGATATAGCCATTTTCATGATCATTTCCTGAGGTTCACAGCCATGTTTTTTTAAGACTTAAACACTCTGGTTTCTGAGCTTAACACATGTTAACTTGTGCAGCCTACGACAGAATGAATGACACCCGGCTCACAGGCACATCACCAAAACATGCATTATGTCAAAAATAATGTATGACAAAGCATGACAAATGTCATGCAGGTACTCTACCTCACTGGGTGTTCTCAGCTCATAGCTAAGAGAAGCACAGACACTAATACATTCATATCTTAGGTGCTTCAGCACAAATTGTCCCGACAACAGAAGGAAATTAGCAATCAGTCAGGTTTTGCTATGACTGCATGTCTCTACCGCAGCACAACCAACACTGACACCTTACTGCACACACATAGAAGTTTGAGTGAGTCACACCATCCATTGCATTGGCAACTCTGGCACAGCAACTCTAGCAGCAACTCTAATGCCATAAACATGCTCTATGATGAAATCACACAATGACACCATGAGTAGCACATTTACTGATAAGAAAAATTGTTATTTGGTGCAGTCTGATGCACTCAAATTTGATGTTTGTCATAATATCTCCAAATGTGGAACAGTCTCTTAAAGGTGGCATAAGATTGGCAAAGTTTGTCCTGCCCTCTGAGATCATTTGATCTTATGTTTGGCCACTGACACCACCTGCAGATCTGTCAGGAGCAAACAGCTACCTCATCTGCCCCCAGTCCCAAATGGAATCAGTATCTTTTGGATTTAAGCATGAAAGTGTGAGTGCACACAATCTGTGTAAATATGTATAATGCAGTTTTAGTGATACATGCAAACATATTTGTTTTGTTCTTAGACATTTTTTCAGACACATCAAACCCACCTGTTTGGTCAAAGCTTAATTTTGAATGCTTGGATTTAGTCATACTGCTAGGAAGATGCAGAAAACATGTGGTGTATCACAGAAGCTTTATGTTTTGCTATACATCCACCAGCCTATCTCCCAGAAAAGCTTGGGTAGGGTCTGATTTTGTGGTTTAATTGGAATCCTTTCAAAGGCACATATTTTCTAGAATATAAGTATAAGGGAACAAGTTACATGAAATATTCAGGAAGGTAGACATCAAAGACCACATCCAAAAAGCTTGAAAGCATCAAAATCAAACAACAAAGAGGTCAAACTTTTTTCTTCAGAAGTTTCCCATAACATTCTGCAGTCCCAAAACACCTTTTTCAGTACTTGAACCCTTAGAAGCAACAGTATGAATAGTAGCACCTCAACTTTCAGGCACTTTAACTGTGTGGTCACTTAGTGTCAATACCTCAACCTTGAATGTCCAAATAACAAATCCCATATTGTTCTGTAATGTATGCTTTACACAAGGAGCATGCACCATATGCAAGGAGGATGTACATCACAAGCATTTTACAAACAGTCCCTCCAGTGCGCCAAACGCCAGCGATACTGATGCGCCGAACCTGGCGCAAAAGTGCGTCAAACTCAGTTAAGACTGAATTACTGAATTATCTAATCGAAGCAATATTGAACTAACAAATAGGGGAGGTTTGTGCGTGAAATTACTACAGCAATATTGCTCCTATCATGACACGCTGGCCTCCCATAGGCTGAATTAGTGGCAGCATAGCGCAAATCTTCGGGCACTTGGATTTACTCCGGGATGTACGGAGTATACGCGCCAAAAATCTTGGCGCAATTTTGCCACTTCGACATTTTTGGCATAACACACATAATTTTCAGTCCAACATCAGTCGCGACCATTCCCACACAGACAACACCAAACACTATCAAGCGCAATGCAATGTCAACTGCCATACACAGTAAAAACGCGTCCGCGCCGGGACCACAGAACATGGCGAGTGACAGAAAAGCACCCTTGTGCGGTCCTTGCACTTCCCACTTACTTGTAACAAAATGATCTCCTTTTGACAGCGGCCAACAACCTTCCAATACCCGCCAATCAACCAACCCGGACGAGCAACCACACCTATCCTAGATAGCACGGAGCACGCGCCGGTCCCGGGATCCTCGCGCTTCGCTCCCACGCTGACAAGTTTGCCAAGGTTGGCAAAAATATGGGGCATCGAAAATAATCGTTGGTGTTACCATTTCGCGTAGGTGTGACGTCATTAGGCAACGGCCCCGTCTCATTCGACCTGAAGGCCATGCGAAACGAACCGGCCACAACCGTGAACAAGCAGTGTAAGTCATGCGCATATTTCAGTACTGAGGTATATGTTAAAAACAATAGCACTTGCGACGGAGCTGGGCTACATTCATGCATCCAGTAGATAGTGCTGTAGCACTTCTCTTACAGAGGCGAGGGCCCATGACCTGGAAATGGGTTTCGGAAGGCTAGGTGTCATCACGTTAGGCAATTATCACGCGTTACATATGCACACAACAAATATCGATCTGACATGGGATGACCTCTACAGGTCAAAGTTTGTCATGCCCCGTGTAATATGGAAGCCCCCATGAGTCCCACATTACAGTCACCAGGAAATAATGCATTGCGGCAGAAACTGGTCATAACCGGATATTGATACAATTGGGCATTATTCGATCAAGCAAATGGCACCACTCAACTCGACACCACATCTCCTTTCTAAAGATGTGTGTTTCAAAATTGTTTGCGTGAAGTCATCACGTCACCCGACATGACCTGTACTGCAGGTTAGCTGTCTTTTTTTAGTTTAGCTGTTTAGGTGTCTTAACTTTTTCAGCTTAAGGTTTTGACTACGTGGTGCGCACATTCGAATAAAGCAGACTGATATCGGTTGTAGTACATTAGTTTGCCTTGCCAAGCTATCATCACGCATTACATACGCACACAACAAATATCGATCTGACATGCGGTGACCTACGGAGGTCAACATTTTTTATGCACCGTGAAAAGCAGAGGCATATCCTCCCCCCCCCCCCTTATCTAGGCTCTGCTACGTTTGTAGCGTTTTGAAAGAAAATGAAACGGCTCAAGATTTTTTAGATCGTTGGGTCCCATGTTAAAATGACCAGAAAATAATGCATTGCGACAGAAACTGATCATATCCAATCATTGTGTGCATAAGTTTTGGGCTAGGCATCATCCGACGAAGCAGATGGCACCAATGAACTCGGCCTTACATTTCCTTCCTGGGGATGCATCATTGTCATTGCTTGCATGAGATGCAGCTCGTGATCTGACATGACTTGTACCTCAGTTCAGGTGCTTAGCTTTTTTCCCACCTCATAGCTCCGACCTAATCTGTATTTCAGCAGACCAAACGGTTTTCAGCACATGACGTAGCCTGGGTTAGCGATCATCACGCGGTTATGTGTTTGTAGACACACACCACACACACACCACACACACACACACACCACACACCACACCAACACACCACACACACCCACACACACACACACACACACACACACACACACACACACACACACACACACACACACACACACACAACACACACACACACACACCACACACCACACACACACACACCACACACACACACACACACACACACACACACACACACACACACCACACACCACACACCACACACACACACACACACACACACACACACACCCACACACACACACACACACACACACACACACACACACACACACACACACACACACACACACACACCACACACACCACCTTGTGAACGTCCATTAGGGGTATTATATATATATGATATATATATTATATATAGATATTATATTGATTCAATGAACCAAATACCGCTGGTGCTAATCTGTAAAGATATCTGAGCATTGGAGTGCGTCAGAGCGGCATGACAGTTGGTAGACAACCCTCGCACTTTGGTAAGTCCCGTAGGCATATGAACGTTTCAAAAAGTGGGGGAGGGGCTAAGCTCAGGGCATACTTCAGGGAACTTTTCTGGAAAACAAGCCGGATGAACGGTGGGGGTGGGGTGGGGGTGGGGGGTAGAGTGGAGGTTTTCGCTCTTTATTCAAACGTAATGACTGCTATTCTAGGTATGCAGTTAGAGCTGTTTCGCACCGGTGCACACTCTTGCCTATCCGCTTCATCTATGCCATTCGGAAAATAAGGTTATCCAGCCTCCCAAGATTATTCATCCATTTCAACGTTGTCTTTCCTGGGGAGCCGAAATTCCACGAGCGGGTAGGCATTTTGGGCCATTGAGGAGGCATCTGTCATCACATGGTAGATGCCAAAATATGGCCTGAACATAGGCTGGTGAGAGTTTTGGAAGTGAATCGATAGCTCACAGTACAACAGATTTTGCATGCGCCCTCATTCGCTGGCTGCTTTTCAAGAGATAAGACTTGTCAGCATTTTAGGCGTAAACAAATTAGAAGCTTGAAACTGCCAAAAATCACGTGATAAAAGTCATAGAACTGGAGAATCTCCTTTTGAAAACCAAGCTACAAAATAGAGGCCCTTCTGTCATATATTCCTTGTCCGAGCCCTGCTCCCGTCCGCCGTCGGTGGCAGCTGTCCTGGTCCGGCTGTCTCCGAATGACTTGACGGCGAACTGATGGTATGACTGCTTTGGTGCACATTTCTGGATCAGCATTGCCACTAACTGGGATTGTAAAACATGTATTGCGACACTTGCAACAGTATCTTTTTCCTTATTATCTTTCCCTTACAACACACCGCAACAGAAAAATGCCGCCGGGAAACTGCCTACTTTAGGTATGAAATGGCCCAACGGCCATTTAATTGCCCGCCCCAACGTAGATAACTTGATCTGCTTGTGTGTGTGTAGGCAGGGGGTAACCAAGCCTTGCCAAGAGGAACACAGAGTTGACAAAAAAACGTTTATGGTGATCCCTCCACAAAAATACACCGAATATAGTTTACTTGTTAACAAGAGATACGGTTTTTCTTCGTTTCATTGTTGTTTGTACGTGGTAACCGGAAACAGAAACCAGAGGCTACCGTGAAATAAATTATGTTTACATTTTGAACACACGCCCGGGTGGCCGGCTAGATATCCTTCGCTCAGGTAGGGGTCAGTTTCGCATCCCTGAGATCTCAGGAACTAAGAGAGCTAGAGACACCAATTGGCCTGTACGTGAACTCACTTAGGTCAAAATTTGGGGTCCCTAGGCCATGACTTTTGAATAGAATAAGGTCAAACAAGGTCAAATTCCAGGTTGGTCTCCAAAGGGCTCCCATAACCTAGATAACTGTCTCTAAGCAAAACTTCACATGCTCAGTTAAGGTCAGTGAAGTTGTCTGACCTTTTGAAGGTCATGGTGACCAAAATCATACAAGACGGTTCTGAGTTTTGCATTGGAGTAAGCGAGAAATACTACGCTAGGCAGCTACTTTTCTTTTTTTAAAAATGTTGACCTAGTTCATTTTAGGTCAATGACCTATTCTGACCTGTAAGAAGTCCATGGAAAATGTAGCAATGTGTTTCCTGCAGTCGATAGATTCGAAATGAGCACCAGAGACTATCCTATACAGCAAGCCTCTAAAGTAATAGAACAGGTTGGTTTTGACCTTGGTCTGACCTTTATATCTGACCTTAGGTCAACGTAATTTGTTCATGAAATATGTGTGTTGCCTAAGAAAGCATCTCAGAGATGTATGGCTTCGTCTAACATTCCATTGTTGCATCAGATTGAACGACTCCCTAGAAGTCGACTTCGCTGAAACCATGGCCTGATTTTGGCCTGCCATAGGTCAGCGGCCTTGTAAAGTAAATCTCAGCTTTTGATGCCAAGCGATCCACTATTCAATCGTCTACAGCTAGTGCAATATATGGCGTGGCTGCGTGGCCGTTCGGAAACAATTCTGAAAAAACCTTCGGGGGCGAGTCAGTTTGACCCCCCACCCGAGCGCGTGTTAAGGTTAATAAAATGCAGAAATCAGGCGTTCAACGACCGTATAGAATACATCAGCCGGTGTCCTTAATTTGCAATGGCTTAGTGGACCCCTTCTAAACCGATAGAACTCAGAAGCTTTTCCATAATGTTTTATCTGCGCTCTACAGACATTGAGGACATCGCGAAGGTAGATTGTAGATCGATATGTTTTGTCAAAATTTGAGGGTGAAAATTTCGCTTGTAGATCGAGTGGTCAGCAATGTGTATTAATATCGGCCAAACTATGTTTGGTCTGGAAATGTAAAATATTTAGTCAGAAGCGATCAATGATACAAGCTTAAAGAACGTGTTTTTAGCATGCGTGCTCGCAAATCTTAGCAACAAAAACCTCGACACCAGGCGTTGCAGTCTCCAGTGGTCCGCGGAGCGTTGGCTCAGTGGTTGAACTTTCCGTCATGGTCCACCGGTGGACGAAAATGATAACGATTCTGAAATAATTACCTGCAAACACTTGAATTGGTTACTAATAAGGGCTACGTGACATAATTTTGAGCATGCGTACTAGCAAATCTTGTTTTTAAAAAACCTCGACGCTAGGCGTTGCAGTCTCCGTAGGCCTCGCAGTGTCGGCTGAACACCTGATACTGAGCCGTGGCCAACGGATGGACGAAAATGAAGGACGAGTCTAAAAAAGTACCTTTGAACGCTTCAGGACATCAAATGTTACATGCTCAAAGCAGTCTGGGCGCAGGTTTCACGTGTGCGATTTTTAGACTGATGATAAGAGCAAATTGGCCCGTAAAACTCCGCGCAGTGGTGCTGGAATCTGGTGGTGGAACTGGAAGAGTAAAGGTAGATTCTCTATTTTTCGTGTTTCTGTAGCAACTAATCTGCCCAGAAGACAGATTACTACGGCGTCTGCCGTCTGGTGACACTTGCTGTGGTTAACGCTGTTCGATTTTACGGAAGCTGCAACCCGGACGATCGCTGTTCTTGCTCTCTAGGTTGCGGGCGGGCGTGTTCAAACCTTTTGATGCACTTTTTCACTTATCCATTCTGGAAAAAAATGAACGGTCTTAGGCAAACATGAGATGGCCTTGTTT